ACAAATCTTTAAAAAAAAAAGCTAGGGAGAAAGTAATAAGATTAGTGTCAGGGGAGGAGGGGGGGATGGGTAAGTAGTCAGGCACAAGGTTTTTTGGGAAGCGACACTGTTCTGCAAGATACTATAGTGGTGGATACAGGTCACTAGATACTTGTCCAGTCCCTCAGAATGCACAAAACCAAGCACAAAAACCAACGTGAACCGTGGGCTGGGGTGAAGGTGGTGTGAGCATGCAGGAGGCTGTTTGTAACAAATGCCTGTCTCAGCTGTAGACAGGGCTCTCCAGAGGGGCAAGATGCTGCTGTCACACTTCCAACAAAGACTGGGAGGGGAGCCAGGCTGTGACCTGAGTCAGCCCTGCAGCCCTGTACTTACTGCCTTGACAGTCCCTTGGCTGTGTCCTCAGGGTGGCTACTCCACATAGGGGACATTTGGTTAACTGTCTCAGCGACTGGAGAGCCCCTCCCATTGTAATCACAGCCCAGGGGCTCCTGGGGCTACAAGAGTATTTGAGCTCAGCTTCCCTTCCCCTGTGTTGAGATGCTCCAGACCCCAGGGAGGTGGGTGACTTCCCTGGAGGAGGAAATGGAGCCTGGGTCTGGGTGTCCTGAACCCTCACCGGGCGTTTTGAAAGATACAGGAGTCTCTGTGGATGCCAGTTATATTAGGATTAGAGGTGGGTAAAGGTTTTGACTACTTTCGTAGGGTACAGGGGAAGAATTCAGGCAAGCACTCTATCACTGAGCCGAACCCCTGACAGTTTGCAAAGCTTGTGGCAGGATATTTTTCTGAAGTGCCTGGGTGATAGACCCTCCCTGGGAATCCTAGTGGCTCTTCCCATCCCCTTGGGGACCCTCAGACTGGCTGCTGTGTTTGTTAGAACCTGATTTCAGCTGGGAAATTCCTGGTAGTTTTATGGAACTCGGATACTCATATATTGTGCTCCTGGAGACCCCTCACCCAGACCCGGGGACCATCCAGAAGGGCCCAAGGCCACCTCTGGGACCTGTCATCAGCACATCTCTGTGAGCCTTCCCACGACTGGAGGTGGCTGCCTGATCTTTTCCAGCTGTTGCTGCCAGCTGACCCTTGCAATGACCCCTTTCTCACACTCGACTTGAGACTTTGTCAGGGCTGGGGTCAACTGGAACAGCATCACCAGACCCCTACAACAGGCTGATTGAAGCCAGGTGGGTGTGGAGAATGCAGGCGGAGCAGGGTGGGAAATCAGGAGTCTTTGCTAAGTGAGGAGCCGGCTCCAGTGTTGCACCTGCCCCATCAATGATGGGGGCACTGGAAGGACAAGCTCTTTCTTGCCTCCCCGCTCCTCTGGTGTGGGGTTAAGGGCAGGCTCTAGTGGGGTGTGTGGGATGTAGTCTGCCACGGTCTTCTCTTCCAAAGGGTGCAGTTTTGCTCTTGCTGGACTCGGCCTTATCTGAAAGGTTTCCTACAGGCTGTCATCCACTGGCAGACCCACGAGCAAACACATTCTCACATTCCATTTTAATGCTCTGAGGAGCAAAATTTTTCTGAGGCTACACATTTTTGCAGAGTGATGCGATGCTTGAGTATGCTGTGCAGGGCAGTTGTCCCCCTGTGCTCGGATTCTTCGAGTGGGTGGGACTAGAGGGGGCCAGGGTTGGCGTCTACCTGGACTGAATTAGATGCTCAAGCATGAGTCTGCTGTGTGGGGGAGGTGGGATACTTCGACATGGGTTTTAGGGCTTTCTGGAACATCTCCAGGTAGGGCTGCTGTCTCAAACTTAGAGCAGCTGCCAGGGAGAAAGGCTGGCTGTTACTGAATGCCATGTGTGGTGCAGAGCAGCACCCAGACTTTGGTTCCGGCCCTGCCACTTCAGACTGAACCTGGGCAATGCACCTCTTACCACAAGTCTCTGCTTTCTTACCTGTGAAAAAGGGGCCAAAAATAAGCAGTGTGGCCAGTGAGATTTTTATGTTTTTTTTAAAAATTATATTTGTGTGTCTGTGTCTGTATCTGTGTGTACTCATGTGTGCATACACCTGCAGTTGTGTGCATGTGGTGGTCGGGGGATAACTTGTGGGAGTCGGTTCTCCTCTTCTACCATGTGGGTTCAGGGATTGAACTCAGGTCATCAGGCTTTGTGGCAAGCTTCTTTTCTTACTGAGACATCTTGCTGGCCCAACCAATGATATTATGAAGAATATGGAAGGGGGTCTTTGCTCCCTCTAAACTCCTCCCCTCATGAGTACCCCTTGCTTTTCCCTTTCTGGTACTCAGCTTCCTCTTCAGTTTTCTTTGGAAAGCTTCCCCAGGAGTTCCTCAAAACCCCATGTGTTCAGGCCCCACCCCTGGCCTCTTGTGCTGGATAGCTTTAGTGTCAACTTGACACACCTGGGTTGAGGGAGCCTCAATCGGGAAATTGCCTCTATTGGACTGGCCTGTGGCCATGTCTGAAGGGCATCTTCTTGATGAGTGATGTGGGAGGGTCCAGCTCACTGTGGGTGGTGCCACCCCTGGGCAGGTGGGCCTGTGTTGCATAAGAAAGCAGGCTGAGCAGGGGCCAAGGGAGCAAGCCAGTAAGCAGTATTCCTCCATGGCCTGTGCTCCAGCTCCTGCCTCCAGGTTCCTGCCCTGAGTTCCTACCTTGGGCTCCCTGATGAACTGCATGCGACCTGGGAGATGTAAGACAAATAAACCCTTTCCTCCCCAAGTTGGTAGTGGTCAGAGTGTTTTGTCACAGCAATGAAGAACAAACTAAGACACCTCTGAAGGAGCACCTCTGAGGGGAGGCTCTGGCATCAGCCTTTTTCACATTCACGAGTGGTTCTAATGTTTAGGGAAGAAGGATGGCTAAGTGGAGCTTTCTTGGAATTCTACAGGAAACACCTCACTGTCAGTGGTCAGGGCCTACATGGAGGGCTCAGGTGTTGTGGTTTTGATCTTCAGGGGAGAGATCCAGGTATTCCCTGTAGTGATTCTGTGATTTTCCTAGGAACTTAACTTTGAGTCCATTGCTCCAAGGCTGGTATCTAACCTGGAGTGGCTTGGCTAACTGAGCCCGTCAGACCCCCAACAGGCCCCACAACAGGTCATCCCAAGTCCCCCATGAGCAGCACACAGCAATCCAGAGGAGTTGCCCATTTCTTACTGGGAATTGGCTCACAGAGAAGTCCAGCTGCTAGTGCTGGTGTGAAAAATGGGGAGAGAGTGAATAAGATCAAGAGAAGATGGCCCCAAGCCAGAAAGCTGGGTTGAGTGTAGGAGGGCTGGCCTCTGTGCCTGGGCTTTTGTCTGTGCTGTGAGCAGAGGTTCCTGACCCGGCTGAAGACCTGTGGCCCTCATGTATGCTTGGGATGCTGGGATATCCCTGTGCCAGGCCTGAGCCCAGCTGTGGGTCCGAAAGATTTTTCAGCTCCCTGGAAAGGTCTCTGATGTCCTAGGCTATTAGGGGCTGTGTACTTTAATTTCCATTGTTTTGCAAATCAAATCTAGGGTTCATGCTAGGCAAGGGCTCTGCCACTGACCTGTCTTCCTGGCTCCCAGTCCTGAAACATGGACTTTAAACAGGGCTTTAAAACTTCAGTTAGTCAGCTTTCTGTTATCTGAGATAGCCAACTTATATGGAGGAGAGGTTTACATCAGCTTGTGATTTCAGAGTTTGCAGTCCATTGTTGTTTGGCTCTGTTGCTTTTTGGCTGAGGTAAAGCAGCCTCTCATGATGGAAGAGAAAACCCCTGCTTTAGGACAGTTCAGAGCAAAGAGAGGAGGAAAGGGGGTTAAGGTTTCAATATCCTCTTCAAGGGCACGCCCCCAATACCTGAGTTCCTCCTGCTAGGTCCTACATCCTAAAGGGTCAACTCCACAGGCTGGTGACTAAGCCTTTATCAGCTGGGCCTTGGAAGAAAAGGGAGGGACAGTAATCCAACTCATAGCTTCCAGATCTCTGCCCTTTGCAGTATGGACCAAGACATCTTCCTAAAATGGTCTGAACACAAATAGTGTGAGCGCCACTGCCATATGCCACAGCCTGCCACCTTTGCTAGTGTTAGGGAAAGGAAATACAGAGGTGAATATAGGGTCTGGTGGGAGAAAGGGGCTCCCAGGATGTTTCCTGAAAAGGCAAAGCAAAACAACCTTGGCTTATATGTGGAAAAATCCTCACAGAGCTGAGTTGTAGAACAGAAACTTGTGGGTCAAACAAGGCCTCATTTTGAGGCCTGGAAAGTATCCATAGCAAAGTGTCCGTTGTGGGACCAAGTTGTTTCCTGGGGCTCTAAGAGATGGAAGAATCAGGTCTGGTGGTGCACACCTGTAATCCCAGCACTCAGGAGGTTGAGGCAGGAGGATTCAAAGTAGGAGGCCAGCTTGGGCTATATAGCAAGACCCTGTCTCAACTCACCCCCACCCAAATGAAAATAAAAAAGAAACGAAAGAGGCTGGTACCCAGAGAAAACCCTGCCTTTCCCACTCCCAGAAAGTCAGGGCCAGATTAAAGAGATCAGTGATCTCTCCAGCTCAGCCTAGAGAAACAGGGAAGGCTCTGCTGACCTGACCCAGAGCCTTTTTATTAGGGTCTATATCAGTTACTTTTGTGTCACTGTGAAAAAACGCCTGATGGAAACAACATAAAGGAGGATTTATTTTGGATCATGGGTTCAGAGGGTCCAATCCATGAGACTACCCGACTCTGTGCACTTGAGCCGAACATCATGGCAGTGGGAAGGAAGGTATGGCAGAGGCTGCTGTTCACACAGTAGTGGACAGGAGGCAGAGAGAGTGAGACAGGAAATAGCCAGGGGTAATATACTCTCAAGAATCCAATCTGCTTCCTCCAGTTAGGTTCCACTCCCAAAGCCTCCAGAACCTTGCTGATTGGTGCCACCAATTGAGGACCAAATGTTTAGAGCAGGAAGCTGTGGGAACATTTTAGAGTCATACTCTGTTCCTCCAGCTGGAAGGGGCAGAGAAGCCCCTGATAGTGGTCACTAAAGTGAGATCTTGTCCCTTCTGTTTATAGGTATCGGGTAAACTTCAGACCCAGGTATGTCACTAGGTACAAGATAGTGACACAGTTAGAATGGAGGTGCTGCCCTGGCTTTAGAGGAGCAGACTGCCAAGAAGGTCCCAAAGATCCCATGAAGACACCCCGCCCTCCACCTGCTCGACCTCGAAACAGCCTGAAGAAAGCCACAGGTAATGTCTTACGGCGTCTTGCCGTCTGTAGTCACCTTTGATGTTCCCAGTGCCGCTTCAAGTGGCAGGATTTATGATGCTCAGTGGAGTGAATACTCACGTAGTAGAAACTTATTTGAAGGAGCAGAAGCAATCAGAAGACACACCCTCTTGCAAGTAAATTGCTTTGTTAGGGCTACTTGTGAAGCAGTGTCAAGCCGTCTCAAGAAATGCACAGTACAGAGTCGTACAGGCTGAGGCTCCAATGGAAAGAAAAAACAAAAAAACCCCAAAACATCAGTTGAAAACATGCCCAGCTCCTTACTTCAGCCCATAAGACCCATGAGTCCAAGTTAAAAATTAGCTTTAAAAAAAAGGGTAGAATAGCCAGGCCTGGTGGCAAATACCTGTAATCCCAGCACTTGGGAGGCAGAGGCAGGGATCACTGAGAATTTGAGGCCAGCCTGGGCTACATAGCAAGTTGCAGTTCAGCCAAAAAGCCGCATTTCAAAACTTGGTCTTAAAAAACAAACAAACAGGGGCTGGAGAGATGGCTTAGTGATTGAGAGCACTGACTGCTCTTGCAGAAGACCTGGATTTGAATCCCAGCACCCACATGGCAGCTAACAACTGTTCGTAACTGTAGCTCCAGGGGACCTGACACCCTCTTCTGACCACCATAGGCATTGCATGACACGGGTGCACGTACACACATGCAGACAATACATTCATACTCATAAAATAAAAAAAATAAATAACAATATTTTAAAAAACCAATCCAAAACAAAAAACAAATGGACTGGAGAGATGGCTCAGTGGTCAAGAGCACTGGCTGCACTTGCAGATGACCCGGGTTCAGTTCCCAGCACCCACATGGTGGCTAACAACTGGCCTTGCTCCCATTTCAGGGAATCAGACACCCTCATCTGACCTCCATGGGTACTGCACGACACGGGTGCACTTATATAACACGCAGGCAATACACTCATACTCATAAAATAAAAAAAAATATTTAAAACAAACAAAAAAGGGCTGGGGAGATGGCTCAGTGGTTAAGAGCACTGACTGCTCTTGCGGAGGACCTGGGTTCTATTCCCAGCACCCACATGGCGGCTATGAACCATCCTTAACTCCAGTTCCAGGGGAATCCGAAGCCCTCTTCTGACTTCTGCGGCATTGCATGGCATGGGTACACTCACATACATGCAGACAATACACTCATACACATAAAATAAAAATAATAAAATATTTAAAAAAAAGAACGCACACTGTTTTTGCAGAGGAGCTGAGTTCCGTTTCTAGCACCCATCTTGGATGCCTCACCTGTAACTCCAGATCCAGGGAACCCAGCAACTTATCTGGCCTGTATGGGCATTTGCATTCATGTGCACATACCACCCCCCCTTTACACATAATTAAAAATAAAATAAATTTTTAATCCCCCCCCAAAAGTAGGAAGCCAGGCATGGGAGAGGTGTACACCTAGAATCTCAGCACTCAGGAGGCTGAAGCAGGAAGAGCTCAAATGTTCTAGTTCCTTTTTCTGTTGCTGTTATAAAATACTCTGAGCAAAAGGAGCTTGGGGGAGGAAAGAGTCTTTTTGTCTTACACTTCCAGGTCACAGTGGAACTTGCTATGGAACCATGCAGGAGTCCTGCTTGCTGTCTCCGTTCTCTGGTTCATGCTCAGCCAGCTTCCTTATGCAGCTCAGGTCTACCTGTCTAAGTATCATGCCACCCCCAGTGGGCTGGGCTTTCCCATGTCAATCGTCAATCAATCAAGACAGTTTCTCATCGACATGGCCAATCTGATCTGAGAAATCCATCAACTGAGACTGTCAGATGACTCCAAATTGTGTCAAGTTGACAGCTGAAGCTAAGTAGGACATCAAGTTTGAAGCCGATCTGGGCTGTGTAGAGAGACCCCATTTCAATAAATAAATGAATAAAATAAAAATAGGTAAATAGAACTGCTCTGTATGTGGATGGGCTATATGAACCCCCAAATTCTCACCTGTCCACTCACCTTTGCTCTTAGGTATAACATCAAGAGGCTGAACTTTTATGGGCGACTTTTTTTCTTGGTATTTTGCCTGTAGATCACTTTATTTTCCCTCTTTCTGACTTAGAAGAAATAGAGCGTAACTTCTCCTGTAAAATGTGTAAATTGTTACTGGTTTTCATTTTAACATGAGCTGTTTTCAGTTTTGAAACTGACAGTGCCTCAGGACATTTCTGTAAAGTAGATTGTTAAATCATTTCTATTACCAAAGTGATTCATATCAATTAAGGAATGTTAGTAAAACATAGAAGGTCTTTTTATTTTAAAATACTGAGTCATTGGTGATTGACGATGTTCAGGGTACATAAGGTAATGATTTGATATAGCATACAATGTGGACTGATGACACCATGGAGCTCATTAGCACACTTGTCACCACCTCAGAACTTACTCATAACTGACTTCATCCACTCCTGACCACCACTTTCCACACAGTTATATGTTTTGCTTAATCAGTATTTGCTATGTACATTGTAATAACTCTGTAGATAATATTTGTGGTTGGACCCTGTAGAATACTGTGAATAGGTTTTTTTTTTTTACATAGCCTTCTGATTTCTTCGGATATTTTATTAATTTTTTGATAATTTCATAGAATGTATTTTGATCAGATTCACTCCCACTCCTGCCCTTAACTCCTCCCACATTCACCTCCACCTCCTACTCTCCCCTCCAACTTCGTGTCCTTTTTTTGTGTTAATAACCTACCTAGTCCAATTTGTGCTGCCCAAATATGCTGATGGGCATGAGGACCTTTAGATTCCCAAGAGTCAATCACTATCTGTTTTCCTTTGCTGCTTTGTCTTGCTGTTGTCCCTGCTTCAACCCAAACTCTTCTCTGGTTATCTGCACATCCTTCATCATGTCCAGATCCACCAGCAGCACCTGCTTGAAGACATTCCTCCAGGAACTTTCTCACACACCCCAGCTTGCATCACCCTCTCTTCCCGCCACCCAGGGCTCCCAAGCTGCCTCTCTTCTCTCTTCAGCTGGAATCGGTTTCTCCTGTTACTCCTTTGTCTGGCTTCAGCACGTTCTCCTGTTGTTGCTTTTTTCTGTTTTCTTCTTCTTTTTCCCTTTGAGATGAGATCTCATGTAGCCCAGCCTGGCCTCACACTTGCTAGGTATCCAAGGATGTCCTTGAACTTCTGATTGTCCTGCCTCTAAGACCTCACAGTGCCGGGACTACAGTCATCATCTACCATGACTGGTTTGTGCAGTGCTGGCTTTGTGCATGATAGGAGAACAGACATCACTGAGCTACCCCACAACCTCCTCCAGTTCTTTCCCAAGAAGATTTTATAGAAGGTGGACTTTTTTTTTTGCATGTATGTATGTGTGTTTGTGTGGGTGTGTACACATGTGTGTACAGGTGCACAAGTATGTATGTAGAGACCAGAGGTTGACATCGGGAATCTTCCTGGGTCACTCTCCATCTTATCCACTGAAGCAGGGTCTCCTACTAGAACCCAGAGCAGGCTGATTTGCCTAGTATGGCTTGCTCTGGGGATCCCTGGTCTGTGCCTCCATCGGGAGGAATGTGGGTGGGCCACTGTGCCCACCTGGCATTTATGTAGGTGCTGCTGGGGATTTGAACTCTGATCTTCACGCTTGCATGGCAAAACTTTACCCACTGAGCTGTCTCCCTAGCCTATGGTGAAGTTTTTGATACTTAATTGTCTTAAAATGTTTTCATTGTTGCTTCAGAATTCTAGGTCAGGAATAATTTTACTTCAGAAATTTTAAGATATTGCTCGATTTTCTTGTAGGTTTCAATACTGCTGTTTAAAAGTCTCAAAACACCTGATTCCAATTGTTCATATATACCTGCATGTATGTATGTGTGTTTGTGTGGGTGTGTACACATGTGTGTACAGGTGCACAAGTATGTATGTAGAGACCAGAGGTTGACATCGGGAATCTTCCTGGGTCACTCTCCATCTTATCCACTGAAGCAGGGTCTCCTACTAGAACCCAGAGCAGGCTGATTTGCCTAGTATGGCTTGCTCTGGGGATCCCTGGTCTGTGCCTCCATCGGGAGGAATGTGGGTGGGCCACTGTGCCCACCTGGCATTTATGTAGGTGCTGCTGGGGATTTGAACTCTGATCTTCACGCTTGCATGGCAAAACTTTACCCACTGAGCTGTCTCCCTAGCCTATGGTGAAGTTTTTGATACTTAATTGTCTTAAAATGTTTTCATTGTTGCTTCAGAATTCTAGGTCAGGAATAATTTTACTTCAGAAATTTTAAGATATTGCTCGATTTTCTTGTAGGTTTCAATACTGCTGTTTAAAAGTCTCAAAACACCTGATTCCAATTGTTCATATATACCTTGGGTGGCCTTTGAGCCCTATTTTTATTGCTGAATTAGTGAGGTCTTAGGAAGTTAAAGGAATGTTTATTTTCTAGCCATTCTCACTAGAAGGTGAGCACATCTAGAATCCCAGCACTTGGGAGGCTGAGGCAGGCAGACTGAGGCACTGAGGCCAGGGTGGGCTATACAGTGAGACCTCCCTATCTTTGGAACTTACTTTTTACTTACTGTCATCTCACTTAGTGGCTTTGGAGAAGGTGATTAAATAAAATCTCCTGTTATCAGGCACTCGAGTACTTGATAATTTTTCATTGCCTTAGGTCATATTTGAACAGGCATCTTTTCCTGTTAGGTTTTGGTACTCATCTGGGCGGGGTAACACATATCTGTAATCCCAGCGCTTGGGAGGCTAAGGCAGAAGGATCAGGAGTTTGAAACTACTTTCTCCAAAAACAAAAAAAAATTTTTTTTGAACTTATTCCTGATTATTTTCCAGAATATATTTCTTTTTATTTATTTACTTATTTAAAAACCACATGATTAGAAGAAGCATTTCATTACAGCTTTAACATATTCAATAACAATTTCCAAAGCAAAGATACATCTCTTTCAAAAGTGGCTGTAAATTTTTAGGTTCACAGTTGAATTAATAGTCATAAAATATTGAACGCAGTATAAACCCTATAAGACATAAAATTGAATGACTTTAAAAAAATTTTTTCATTTATTATTTTTACTTTATGTGTATGCATGTATTGCCTGCATGTAGGTAAGTGCACCTGTGTCATGCAATGCCTGCAGAAGTCTGAAGAGGCTGTCGAATCCCCTGGGACTGGAGTTACAGACAGTTGTTAGCTGCCATGTGGGTGCTGGGATTTGAACCCGGGTCTTCTTCAAGAACAGTCAGTGTCCTTAACTGCTGAGCCATCTCTCCAGCCCCAAAATTGAATGCATTTTTAACCTTTAAAAAAGATCTCCATTTCATTTTAAAATATACTGTTTCCTACAGAAAGACTCATTTTTAATGCTACTAACGCTTAGATGTTTGCACATGTGTCTCTAATCTCTATGTATCTGATTATTACTAGTCACAGTCAGTTACACTAGGCTCCTTGGCACCTGAATATGGATATAAAGTCATCAGGTAGATTTCAATGGTAATGTTTATCACCTTTACTAATTAACATGAAGTAAATTTTTATGCTTCCTCCTCAAGTGTAACTCATTTTTAAAATTTGTTGATTTTTTTTGTGTGTATATCATACAGAACATTCCAAACAATCTTACTCATCTATATACCCACTTCCTAAATGGCACCCTCCCATAGCCCCTCCCCCCACTGGAGCCCATATACTCTGTCACCCCTATTACTGTCCACTGTGTGTCAGCACCCACAGCTGTTCCTCAGTGCTTGTCCATTGCTGAATCTAGTCAGCCTATCTAGAGAGCCTTGTTTTAGGAAGATCAGCTGTTCCTCATCTAGCAGCAATCAGTTGTCAATATTCCTTTAGATAAGATTGGGGTCTGCTGTTCATTTTCCCAGTTCTATGTTGGGTTACTGTCCAGAACATATTTCTAGAAGTACAATTTCAGGGCCAAAACAACTAAGTATTTGGATACATATTGTCAAGATATAAGATATTAGATATTCCCCCCCTTTTTTTTTTTTTTTTGGTCTTTTGGAGACAGGGTCTCCCTATAGCCCCAGCAGGCCTGGAACTCACCAGGTAGACTAGGCTGGCCTGATTTCACAGAGATTCACCTTCTGTCCAAGTGCCACCACACCTGACATCAAGATAGTCTTCTTTTTTAAATATTTTATTTATTATTTTTATTTTATGTGTATGAGTGTATTACCTACATGTGTGTACGTGCACCTATGGCATGCAATGCCAGTGGAGGTCAGAAGAGGGCATCAGATCCCCTGGAACTGGAGTTACAGATGTGTTAGCCTCCTTATGGGTGCTGGGAATCAAACCCCAGTCTTCTGCAAGAGCAGCCAGTGTTCTTAACTGTTGTGCCATCTCTTCAGCCCCCAAGATATTCTTTAAAAGAGTTGTAGTATAGCTGGGCATGGTGGCGCACGCCTTTAATCCCAGCACTCGGGAGGCAGAGGCAGGCGGATCTCTGCGAGTTCAAGCCCAGCCTGGCCTACATAGTGAGTTCCAGGACAGCTGGGGCTACAGGGAGACCCTGTCTTAAAAAAAAAAAAAAAGTTGTAGTAAAAAGTAGTAGTAAAAAGTGGTGGGGCCTGAAGGAAGCATTTCCTCACACCCTTGATGGTCACACATTCTTAGGCTTTTATTTCTTTTGCTCAGAATAATGTTTTTGTTCTATATGATTCTGTAACTTACTTTCTTGAGATAGAATGAAAATTCCAATATGGAAAATCAAGTGTTCTTTATAGCTCTCTGCAGGAAAGGAGTGTTCACTTGGGTGTTTGAATATCTGGATTTGAGTCTTCTTGGCTTTCTGCCAAATTGACTTTAATAAACAATAGCCACTATTCCAATCTTGTGCAAAAAAGTCAAGAGAAGGAAGAAATATGGAATATTAAATTCAAATTCCTTCAGCATTCTGGATTTTCTGTGTCTTCCTGTGTAGTGCACGCGTGTGCTTATTTGACTACATCTGTGTGGTTGGCACGTTCCTTTCCTTGACTGCATCACGTGGCAGCGCAAGCCTTGTGCAGAGTTCTCCCGTTCCATTGCCTTCACGGGTTTGGTTTCTTCCAGTTCTCTATTCAGTTGCTGCAGGTACCCACAGCTTCTTTCTTGCTGAATTTGACACTCGCTCTCTGTTGGTGTAATACTACTTTATGACTCGCTGCTATCATTGTTAGCGTTTGTCTTTTAGATTGTTTTACTGGGTTAGAAATGGAATCTCTCTCTCTCTCTCTCTCTCTCTCTCTCTCTCTCTCTCTCTCGGCTAAGAATTGAACCTGAGACCTTACTCATGCTAGGCGAAATCTTTCTGCATTTAATGTCCCTTAACATTTTTGTTTGTTTTTTGTTTTTGTTTTTGTTTTCTGGGTTGGTTTTTTTTGTTTGTTTTTTTGGTTTTTTTTTTGTTTTTGAGACAGGGTCTCCCTGTAGCTCCAGCTGACCTGGAATTCACTATGTAGACCAGATTGGCCTTGAACTCATAGAGATCTGCCTACCTCTGCCTCCCAAGTGCTGGGATTAAAAACATGCGCCATCACACCTGACCTTTAACTTCTTTTTTTAATTTGAATTTTAAAAAATACTTATTATTCTTATTTTTTATCTGTATGAGTGTATTGCCTGCATGTATGTAAGTGCACCCATATCCTGCTATACCTGCAGAGGTCAGAAGAGGGCATTGGATCCCCTGGAACTGGAGTTACAGACAATTGTTAGCTGCTATGTGGGTGCTAGAAATCCAACCTCCCTCTGCAAGAGCAGCCAGTGCTCTTAACTGCTGAGCCATCCCTCCAGCTCCTCCTTAACTTCTTAAAAGACCAAATGAGATTCTCTCAGCATAGGGATGCTAAGAAAAATAAAAAAGCATTCAGGAGTTGTTTTGAGGATAACCTCAAATAATATGGCTATCATTGCCCAGCAGTTGCAACTCTCTAAAATGGCTTTGTGGTGTTTTAAAGCCAGCAGTTAATTACTGGGGTGTCTGCAGTTCAATGGGAAAGATGTGTTCAGATGATGCAATAGACGATCCCTTAAGGTTGAAAGGCTCCAGTGATTATCTACCGTGCTGCTTCTACACAGCCCTGACAACCCTGGTGAGGGGGCAGGGGTCCCTCTTTATAAAGGAGGGGATTGTTGCTCATAGAAGTTAGTTAGCTTGTGGGTAAACAGTGAATAGCCAAGTTCTCCTTGACTCCAAACTCATCCTCTCTTATACTCTCCACTGAATTGCCTGCAGTTGGGCAACAGATCCATAATGGAACATTTCAGCAGGTACCTTGCAAAAACTGGCTCAAGGTAGAAGTTTATCCATGTTCATCTTGTTCTTTCTAACAGATGCTGATCCAAGCCCAGTCTCAAAGCCCAGGGAAACTTCATCACCAACTGACGCAGCAAAACCAGGTCAGGCAGTGGATTCAAAGCAGGGTGCTCAGGAACTCCAGGAAATGAAAGTCCAGGTGCTGGAGGAGAAGGTTGTCCGACTCACTAGAATGGTGCTGGACCTCCAGTCCTCCATAGCAGGAGTGAAGGAGAACCTCAAACACACCATTCAGGAGGATGGAAACAAAGGGCCAGCCTCATGGCTCAGCCCCCTGCATCCCCAGCCAGCTCCTGAGAGCACTGTAGCTGGAGACACAGAGCCAGGTCAGCTTCCAGGCATCCTCAACAGCAAGGAATCTGGCATGAAGGACATCAAGTCTGAACTGGCTGAAGTCAAAGACACATTGAAGACCAAGAGTGACAAGCTGGAAGAGCTGGATGGGAAGGTCAAGGGCTATGAAGGGCAGCTCAAGCAGCTCCAGGAGGCTGCCCAGGGTCCCACGGTCACCATGACCACCAACGAGCTATACCAAGCCTATGTGGATAGCAAGATAGACGCTCTGAGAGAGGACCTCATGGAAGGCATGGACCGGAAGCTGGCCGACCTGAAGAACATGTGTGAGTACAAGCTGGTGGGCCTCCAGCAGCAGTGTGATGACTATGGGAGCAGCTACCTGGGGGTGATAGAGCTGATCGGAGAGAAGGAGACGAGCCTGAGAAAAGACATCGATGACCTTCGGGCCAGGCTGCAGGAACCCTCTGACCAGTCAAGATGCTGTAATAGTCAAAAGAATGGCAACTTTGACCAACAGATCAAGACATTGGACCAGAAGATTGAGAGGATTGCTGAGGCCACCAGGATGCTGAATGGACGACTGGACAATGAGTTTGACCGTCTCACAGTTCCAGAACCAGATGTGGACTTTGATGCAAGATGGAATGAGCTAGACGCGAGGATCAATGTGACAGAGAAGAATGCAGAAGAGCATTGCTTTTACATAGAGGAGACCCTTCGGGGGACCATCAGGGGAGAGGTGCATGACTTGAGGCAGCTTCTAGATCAGAAACTTCACTCCCTGGAAGACCGTCTGGGGAGCATACTCCTGCAAGCGACCAACAGCTCTGATGCAGAGCTGGTACCTCCAGGCCCAGCCCTACCAGGACAGCCAGTGTCAGGGAATGAGCAGGTGTTGATGGAGTTGAGCCGCCTGAAGGACAAAGTTCAAGTGGTTGAGGACATCTGCCGGCAGAACTTGCCTCATGGGATAGATGGTGCTTTGCCAAGTGGAGAGGACCTCACACACATCAGCCTGAGCCTTTTGGAATCTCTCAATGATACAATGCACAGGAAGTTCCAAGAAACTGGACTTAGCATCCAGAAACTTCAGGAGGACTTCAGCTTCATTTATTCCCTATTAAATCACACAGAAAAGGAGGCAACTCATCTGCATAACAGACTGAGCAATGACAGAGCAGGTGACGATGCTGAAGTGGGTGGGTTTACTAAGACAGGGGGCCCAGAGAGGACGGGAGGGACTAGCCCATCTCCAGAGAGTCGGGTGGCTCCATGCTGTGCCCTGCTGGAGAAGCGCTGGCAGATGCTGCAGAACCAGGTACTGGCCGAGCTGGACATGTGTAAGGAGAGCACACACGGGTTGCAGAACGGGGTGTCCACGGTTGAGGGCAGGGTGTCGCAGTTGGAGCAAACATGCAGTAAGCTGGATGCCATCTCGGGAGGCCTCCAGAGGATCAAGGAGGGGCTCAGTAAGCATGTGGGAAGCCTGTGGAGCTGTGTCCGGCAGATGAATGGGACGCTCAGGTCGCACTCCAGAGACATCTCCGGCCTGAAGAACTCTGTGCAGCAGTTTTACAGCCATGTTTTCCAGATTTCTACTGACTTGCAAGATCTGGTCAAGTTTCAGCCATCAGCAAGTAAGTGAAACTGGCCAATCTCATTTCCTGTCATATGTATTTGCAGCATGGACAAGGTTATGCTTGATTTTTGGATGGTTTGGGGAATGAACTAGATGATCCCAGTGCTACCCCAAGTGTGGCTCATAGGTCACTGCCTGTTTGTGAATTGGCAGCAACAAGACAAATACCAACAAGAATACATACCAGGCTGGGGATGTGGCTCAGATGGTAGAGTGCTTGCCTAGCATGCATGAGGCCCTGAGTTTGAGTCCCAGGATCACATAAAACTGGGTGTGGTGGCGTATGCTTATAATCCCAGCACTTGGGAGGTAGAAGCAGGAGGATCAGAAATTTAAGGCCATCTTCGGCTATGTAGTAAGTTGGAGGCTGGTGTGAGCTACATGAGACCCCGTCTCAAAAAAAGAGAAAAAGAATATATACCAGAAGCTTCTAAAATAATGTAACTTTACTGCATCATTCAAGCACATGATCTGTGTGTTTTATAGAAGTGCCAGTTTATAACACATTGAAAATATGAAATGAAATATGCTTCACTACAGAGAGGTGGCGCAGTATACCAATCTATATTATATGCTGGGAGCTGGGAGCTGGGAGTAGGGGTCAGATTATATATTCTCCCTCAAATATAACTCATTTTTTAAATTTATTAATTTTTTTGTGTGTATATCATACAGAACTTCTCAAACAATCTTATTCATCTATATACCCACTTCCCAAATGGCACCCTCCCATAGCACCCCCCTACACTGGAGCCCATATACTCTATCATCCCTGTTACTGTCCACTGTGTTTTCAGCACCCCCAGCCATTATCCAGTGCTTGTCTGTCTGCTGAATCTAGTCAGCCTGTCTGGAGTTCTTTGTTTTAGGAAGATCAGTTCTTCCTCATCTAGCAGCAATCAGTTGTCAATTATTCCTTTAGATAAGATTGAGGTCTGCTGTTTTAATCCTGACCGCAGCCCTCTAGAAACACTCTCATTCATCTTTCAAATTCTTCTCAAACCTTTCCTCTTTGATTGGTTCCCCTAATACTTCACCCTCCAAGCAATGTTTTATTAATTTATTCTGATGGGAATGACTTCCAACACACCTAAGTTAGAAAGGATTTTATCAACTAATTCATAAGAAAGTTCTTGTAGGAGATAAAAGCTAAAGGGAGATAAGTTTCAGTAGCACACAGAATGCTTTTCAAACGCTAAACCATTGGTGGATTGTAAAATTCATTGACCTTAGCCAGGAGATGCGCTCTTCAGGGCAAGCCAAGTGCATGATAGTTTAAATGACTTGTTAGGGCAATGGCTTCTAGGTAATCAAGAGGACAGGTGACTCAGCACAGTTACAGGACATTTTGAGAGATGCTTATAGCCCCCTGGAACTAGTCGACCTAGAAGGGCAAGGAGCAAAAACTTTCCTTTATATTCTTCTGGGTCAGATTTTTTTTTTTTTAACATAGCATCTTGGGGCAGTGGGTGTTACCCCCTCTATTCTAATTCATCCACCTCTCTCCAAGCACCATGTTTGCTTGTGCTGTCATATCTTTGACACCATTATCTTTGGTCCACTTCCCTTTCCTTAAGATCCACAGTTAGATCATGGTGCTGTCCTATTTTCACAGACACAGACATGACTATGGCCAAAGGAAGTTTGGGAGTAGTGACTGTTTAAAGCCTCATAGCAAATGCTTGCTGAGTAAATGAACGAGCCGCTTGATAGTTTTGAGTAATATGTTCCATAGTGTTATTTCACTTTGAGCTAATCACCTAATCCTTGAAGGACAGAGATTCTTTGATATAGATTCTTACAACCTCAGTAATGGGACAGCCCTGTCTAACAGGAGGTAGAGGTAAAGGAGCAAGAAGAGGTCACATTTATAAAGTACATATACCATCAGGGGCCAGTCTCTTTAGGACCATTAACATTAAAGCCCCACAAACTTACCTCACAGGGATGGCAGAGTTTTCCAGAGAGGAATGTGTACTAAGCCCCATAGCTGATAATGGGGCTTGGAAGGGAACTGGCTGCACCCTCAAATCATCGTCTTACTGCACAGGCCTTTGTGTCTCCCAGAGTTGAACCCAAGGCCATGGGGACTTGTAGAAGGCCAGCTGCATCTGGAAGGAAGCTGTCTCCCAGTCTCCTCTCTCCTTATTTTCTCTTGTCTTCTGTCACCTTTTTCAACTTGTTCACTCTGGGTGACACAGGGTTGAGCTGAGCCCTCAAGACCTGGGAGCCTGTAGAATTTTCTGACTAGACCCCATCTGAGGAGGGGTTGGTGGATGAGCTGTGGGGAGAGCCAAGCTGAGTCCTAGCACCTCAGGAAATGTGGGGAGGGTTCGTGGTAGGTGGGCACACTCTGACTTTTGCCCCTGGAGCACAGCGCACATAGATAAGATGGCCAAGCAGAACTGGGAATAGGCCTTGGTCCTCAGGCTAACTCTCATAGGGCACAGCCCCCACCCAGACCCCTCAGCTCCTATATCTCTGGAATTTTGAGTTAAGGTCATGAGCCCTTACTGTTCACAGAGCGATTGTCTCTTGTGGTGAAAATGCTGTCTGGACTGTGCTTTATAATAACAGCTGATATAATCCAGCTGATTTGCAGCTCTGGGAAGCGTGGGAAGCTATGTCTGTTCTTTGACACTCTTCTGGGTAACAGAGTCTCTGACTCTGGAGTGAATATGGTACCACGCATGGTCCTCTAGACTGAAGCCACACTGTGAATGGACACCATGTGGACTTGGAAGAACTCGTGACTGAGAGCAGCCAGAAATAAATGAGTAGTGTCCTGTGACCTTCAGAGTTCCCAGGCCCAGGAGATCTGGAACCTAGCTATCACAGTACCAGGTGACTCAGGAGTTAAGGTCAAAGTCACTCGATCAGTTAAAAGGCAACAGAGCATTTATGGAGTGTCAACTGTGTGCGAGGCTCCGTGAGGAGCACAGAGATGACAGGTGCCATCCTCCCTCACAAAGCTTCCTCAGGCCAGTAGAGAGAGTGCACGGAGCTGCAGGGAATGAATGAGGTGGTGTGAAAGCCCCTAGTGGGCCCTAGTACATGGTATATGTGGCAGATATGGATAAAAATGGCAGCCTAGTGGAGGATCAAGCAGACAGAGGGTCACAGGAGTCAGGTGTTAGCCACTCTGAAGGCTCAGAGAGCATCTCAGAGCAGCCACAGAGCTGAGCCTTTAAAGTTAAGCAATTATTTACTGAGCAGAGTTGAGAGGTGTGGCAGGGAGAGTAGTAGGGCAAGATGATCAGGAGAAACTTCCAGAAGAAGGTGTTGGTGGAAATGATAACTAAGGAGTGGGTAAGATTTAGAAGGCAGGAAGAGAAAACATTCACGGGAAGACCTGGTGTGAACGGATGTTATTTTTTTTTCTGTGTAACCTCCTACCCCAGATCTTGGTGGTTAGTGTTATAATGCTTATTTTCCATCAGTCCAGTGTCAGAAGCTTGCACAGGGTTGGGCTCAGCAGTTCTGAGTAATGTCAGCTTGAATCACCCTCCCACTCAGCTGTTCGGTCCAGGCCCACTTGGTCATAGGTTTGGTGCCTCGTTATTCCTTCTGTGGCCCCTCCTCTTGTGGCCCCTCTCCCTGTGTGGCTAATGTGGACTCCTCAAGTAGTCAGACAACATGGTGGCTGAGTCACAGAGAGAAAGGAAAGCCGTGACCTCCTATAGGTGAGGCCCAGTGTTGGCCTAGAGTCACTTCTGCCATATTCATTCTGTTGGTCACAGCGAGAGGGCCCTGGAAGGGTGACACAGTTACTGCCCTAGTTTGCTTTCTATTGCTGTAATAAAACACTGACCGAAACCGACTTGGGTAGGAAAGGGTTTATTTCGGTTTACAAGTTACAGTCCATCCTTGATGGAGGTGAAGGCAGGAACATAGCAGGACAAATTGAAGGAGAGACCAGGGAGGAACGCTGCTTACCGGCTTGCTTTTCTGGCCTATGGTCAGCCTTCTTTCTTATACAACATAGGACCACCTGCCCACAGTGGGCTAGGCCCTCTCCTATCACTCAACAAACAAGAAAATGCTTCACAAACATACCCACAGGCCAGTTTAATAGAAGCAATTCCCCAGTTAAGAGTCCCTCTTCCCAGATGTGTCAAATTGATAACCAAAGCCAAGCATGACATTGCCTTGTTAATCTTGACACACAAACAGATCACTTTAAACCCCAACCTTTCTTTGTCCCTAAGGTCTCACATTAATATCACAGTATAACAAAGTTCAACTTTAAAAGTCCAAAGTCCAGCAATGTAGCTTAAAGTCTGACATCTGGTACTCAATCACAATTTTCTGGCTCCAAAGCGCTTGGGCAGCTCCGTTTTTCCAGCTCTGCTGTCCACAGCACTCACAGCTTGTCTATAGGCTCAGGCTGGCTCCACTCCTTATCTGCTTCTGTACTTGGTGGTCGTCCCATGGTCCTGGCCTCTCCAGTATGCTGGGGTCTCCACTGCAACTGAGGCTGTAGCTTTACCAATGGCCTTTCCTGGCCTCACATGGTGCCAAGTCTCAAATTCCCCTTAAATTCTGCAGCTTTCATATACCACAACCAGTATCATGTGGGAGACTCTTACAAATGACCAAGTTCGGCTTCTAGCTTGAAATACCTTCCGGACCACAGCTCTGTGTGCTGACCCTGAGGAAATACTTCCCAGAAGAGGTCACTTCGATGATGCTGGTTTCTTATTAATCACTTTTGATGCCTCAGCTCTCTAGCTGACCATCAGTTGTTTCAGCAAAGCACAAAAGTTTCCAACTTCCACAAATTCTTTTTGTTGTTGTTGTTGTTGGTGTTTTGAGTTTCCCTGTAGTCCCAACTGGCCTGGAACTTACTATGTAGACCAGCCCAATAGAGTCTTTGCTTCCCAATGCAACTTCACAAGCCAGGCCTCCATTTTCCACATTTTTCTCACACAACTGTTCCAATCTCAACAGCAACAGCTCATGGAGTTCTACACATTCAGTAGATTTTCCAGCCCGAAC